GTCATAACTGGGTCTGCTTCCCCATCTATAAAAAGGAGATAATTATGTCTGTAATACCTACTTCATGGGATTGCTACAAAGTACAAAGGAAAAAATTTAAGTAAAGTGATTTTGCATTTTAAAGGCTTACATAAATGGCAGCAATTATTACCAATTCTATTGTCTTATCCTATTGTTTGAAAATTGTTTTTCTGAAAAATCTTTTTGCTGCACACTTCCTCTCATTTTGTTTCTTGTGCTGATGGAGAAAAGACAGTCACTACTCTCCCTCATAAATCTATGAGTTGTTCAATCAGCCCTTAGCCTTCTCCTCTCCGGGATAAACAGTATCCAACCAGTTAAATATTTCCTCACAGTTGTTGTTTCCCAAACCTCAAGTCTCTTCTCAATCATTCCTAAATTCACCACATCACCATCTTACCCTTTTTAAGTCAAGCTGTAGTCACTGTGTTCTCTTCTTTACTCCGAAGTCAGTACTGCTCTCACAATCATCCTCCCTCTGTCCATTTGGTGTATCTAGTGAATTCTGATACTGTAGTAACTCTATTCAGAAGACTTCAACCCTAAGACCTGATTCCACTGGACCATCCCTTTCCTTTTGTATTCTAAAATGAGAAACCTCCGGGCTTGCCTTGCTAACTGATTCTATTGTCAAGTCTCCTGACAAGCTTGTGTCTGGTTTGCTGGCCTCTGTTAGAGAGACAAAATCCTACTTCCTTTGTGACCCCCCAACACACTCACACACCCCCAGCACCCCCAACAAACACAAACACACACACACACACACTTACCATTTTTACCCTCCACTTGCTCCTCAGATGTCTCAGGTAGCAGTGATTTGGGTGGGTTTTTTCCTCCAATTTATCCTGTCTATATCTTGTTCATACATATTTGTTTACATGTTGTCTCCTCCAATAGGCTGTGAGGTCCTTGAGGGCAGGGACTGTTTTTTTTGTTTTGTTTTGGTCTTTTTTTGTATCCCCAATGCTTAGAACAGTACTTAGCACATAGGAGGTAATGGGAAAATACTTGTTGCTTTGCCTTTTCCCCCAGGTGAATCTCATTTACTTTCCCCTTTTTCTAGGAAGAGTGCTAGCAGGAGCCAGGAGGTTCAGTTCTGTTCCTAACTCTATCGCTAACTTGCTGGGTGACTGTGGGCAAGTCACTCTGGATCCCAGCTTCCTCATCAGCATAATGATCAGGCTAAACTAAATGATCTCTAAAGTTCCCTCCTAAACCAGGTTCAAATATTCTGTGAATTGGCTTGGTCAGTGTCTTTGCTGGCATCCTCAGTTTCTTGGCAATTTTTTTGACCTTTATCACAGAGACAGAATTCTTTATTGCATGGTTTGGGGGCCTCAGTTCAGCTCTATATGTAGAGACATGACAAAGGAAGCTGGTTCATCCTTACTTCACTAATCCTCCAGCCTTCTTATTCTCCCAAGGATCTCACAGACCCAAAATAACATCTCAGCATAGACTCCAGAAGAAAGCCTTCTCGTTTAGCAGCTTTCCACAGCCTGCTTATTAGAGCCTGGTAATGTAGCCGCCTAAATAATTAAGACTAACTCACACATGTCAAATTCAATGAGCCACATACATTGAGAAATTGCCGCATCCCCAATTTCTTTTATTAATCAGGTTTTCTAAATTCCTTTTCTTGCTAATTTGCAAAAATCAGATGTTGTCAGTGAGTCTCCTGGTTACAATTTTGTAACATCTTTCCTAGTGTATTCAGCGCTTGACAAGCAAACCAAAGCAAAGTGGATACCAAAACCCAAGTCAAACCACTACACAGCCAGCTCCATTAGAGCAGGGACCAGGTCTTAGGTCATTTTTGCCACGCCTCCAATAGATGCCCAGCACTGTACTCCTCACCCAATGGGTGCTCAATAAATGTTGGAGAATTTAATTAAACTGACCCAGTGAATTGGCATGTTTATAAGCAACAAGTGTAATAGAGTGGACATGGCCCTGGATTTCAAACCCAAGGACCTGGGTTTGAATCCCAACTCAGACACTTATTATCTGTGTAACCATGGGCAAATCACTTCTCTCTGAACCTCAGGTTTCTCATCCATACAAAGAAAGTAAACCTTGTCAACTATAAAACACTATGTCAGTCAGCCAATCAACAAGAAGTGACTTTGTGTTGAACACAAGGGGGGACAGGTGGGGGAATACAAAGACAAAATTATGAATCATTAGAATCCCATAATAGGATTTCAGCATAGAGCCAGTTAGAAAATCCTGTTGCAGATTTCCATAGCTATTAGGAATGAGCCCTTAGATCACCCAAAGCTCTAATTTTCCACTTATGCCCCCTCCAAATTCCCTGGGGAATTGATGCCTCCCTCCTCTTCCTCGAAGCTGTGTTGCTGCAACTCCAGAGGATAAACTGAGACTGAGTCTCAAAAGCATTGCAGGGTCTCTTGCCCTTCTTTCATTTACTCTCTTCCTCCCTCCCTCCACTCTGGTGAGCTCTTTCTCTCTCTCTTTAATTAGAAGATGTTAGGATGTGCTTTAGGATGATCATAAAAAGCCAATGAAAAATATAATAGACATCGTCAGCAATTGTATCATTCCAATGACAAACAATACATATGCAATCATAATGGGATAGTTAACTATGCTCATTGTCAGTGTGTTCAGGCTTTCATTGCAGTCTCTGTTGAGAGGCTATTGTTCCACTAAAACTCTGTGTGTCGCTTATACTTCCAATTGCCCCTTCTAGGCAGTCTGGATTCTTGCCTCTTGAAGATGATGTTAGAAAGAATCCACAAATATAGTAAGTAAACATCAAAGAGGCTTTGATCCAGGCAGCCCTATACAGCACAGGATCCCCTAAAGAAAGGGCCAAGGCCTTGGATGAGAGAACTTAACATCGTCAATTTGGGCGCCTGAGATGGAGGTTTGTTTGAAGTGAGAGCGCGTTGGCTGTGCCTTCAGATGCGTCAACGTGCTGGAAAAAAAAGAAAGAAAGACGTGAGTGCCTTTAGAAAAGCCACACTTAGATCTGCTTCCCTGCTCTTTACTGATAGTCAATAAGCCCCTTTAAAGAATCAAGAGATCAAAGCTAGTGACCTCCCCGGGCCATGGTATCCTGCCACTGCAAGCCCTGCATTTCCTTCCTCTGGGGCAAGAGCCCCGAAGTTTGATTTAGCTGTCTGTCACGGGCCCTGCTCTCCCTTTCATCCTGCTACCGGTGTAGTGAGGGCCCGGTGGGGAGGAGGCCCCAGCAGATGCCCGCCCTGACCATGGTTTAAGAGCTGAAACACAGCCCAAATCAAGATCAGGTCTGGAGGGGGAAGCAACCATGGCTCAGCACTCAGTGGACATTTTTTCTTCTTCTCAAAGAGTCCTGTCTAGAGAGCAGCTCGATCCCCAGAGAGGTTTAGGAGAGAAGCCTGGGAGAACACTGGAAAAAGGTGGGGAGGTGAGGCCATTACATGGCTTCTGACTGGAAAGAGCACTGAACTTGGGAATCAGGAGACCTAGGTTCAAGTCTCAGGGAGATAATCCCACCTGTACTGTGCACCTCCCAGAGTTATTGTTATTATCCTAAAGTATGCTGTGACATGCCATAGAAGTATGAGAAGGCACAATCCTCTTGTTGTTCTATGACCTGGTTATTTGGGCTAGTCACCTAGCTTCTGTCATCTGTGACTTTTTGACCTAAGGACAGGAGGTGATTTCTAGTAGTTAAAGCAGTCACCTCTTATCCTTGGCTCCAGGCCAAGGTTGGTGGTGCCACCATAAAGAGGTTTTTTCAAGAGACAGCCATGTGGCATAGTGGATAAAAAAATAGACTCAGAGTCAAGAAGACCTGAGTTCAAATTCTGCCTCAGGAATTTACTAGATGTGTGCCCTAAATACAACTCTCTCAGCTTCATCTGTAAAATAGAGATAATAATAGCGCCTACAGTACTTCACAGGGTTGTTGTGGGAACCAAATAATCTATGTAAAATGCTTTGCAAACCTGAAAGTATTACATAAATATTGTTGTTCAGTTGTTTCAGTCACGTCTGACTCTTCATGAACCCATTTGGAGTTTTCTTGGCAAAGATACTGGAGTGGTTTGCCATTTCCTTCTCCAGCTCATTTTATAGATGAGGAAACTGAGGCAAACAGGGTTAAGTGACTTACCTAGGGTCACACAACTAGTAAATGTCTGAAGCCAGATTTGACCTTGGGCAGATGAGTCTTCCTGACTCCGGCACTCTATCCCATGAGCCACCTACCTGCCAACATAAACATTTGTTATTATTATTTACTTAAAAAATGTGTGCTAGTTTACATAATAGTGTATATCAAATTGACACAACACGAGCCACTTTGTGCTGTTTGTCTTTTTAAAATCTCTGTCCAATCTCCCTAACTAGATTGTGAGCCTTTCAAGGGCAGGAAACCTGTCTTAATACAATTTTGTATTCTCAGTACCTCAACACATGTTGGTGACAATGACTGATTATGTGTGCTATAAACAATGTGAAGATGTCTAGAATTTTCTCCAGACCTTAAAGCTTTCGCCACACACACCAAGTGTTAAGTCCTTTGGCCTTCATGCCTTTGTGTCTCTAATCCATGTCCTTTTCTGCATGATGGTATCAAACATCTGCTCATCCTCCTGTTTCTCCCCACACCCTAAAAATATCTGCGAACCTCTTATTTAACACTACTGAGTTCCCCTTCTGAATCTGGTAGAGATAACCCACTATGTGAATAGCTGTTGACTGGATTCTGGACTCTGTTTTGTTAATACTCAGCTTCATTCTGGGCCATAACTTTAAAGGAAAGGTGATAAAGGACTCAGAGAATATAGGAGTGGGTATCTGCTACAAAAAAAGGCCATGTTCCCCCTGAAGACTTCTATCTGGAGTGTCTGGGAAAAGGAGTCTTACCCCAACTGCCTGGGATGGCCCCCTGCCCCTCACATACCCAAAGATATGGTTTTTACATTACTCATTCTTGACTCATCCTACCATGTGCTTCCTTCCAGAACTTGGGTTCCAGAAGAGAGGATGCTGTCTGGTACTGGGGTACATGTCCAAGGAAAAGTTCCGGAGGATGAATGAAGGTCAGTGAAGGCCTAACTGTCCCCTGAGGGAGTCATTGGGAGGGAAAGGATTATGTTCCATAATTAATGGATGACTGACTATGGGCAAATTATATTACCTTTCTGAGCCTTCATTTCATCTGCAAAACACTTAGTCTATCTCAGGGTTGTCATAAGGAAATTACCTTGTAAACCTTGAAGCACTATATGAGTATGAATGATTGTTATTATTACTTTTAATAATAATGCTTATAAAAGAAACAGCGGGGACCTAGGGACTCCTAGAGAGAAAATAATGGACTGTTTGTTCACCATGATGGTTTGAGAAGAACATTGTAGTTGGAATAAGAGGAACAGGTTCAAATCCTGACTCTACTGTTTATCACAGATGACCCCAGGCGAGCTACTTTCCTCTCTGAACCTTTCCTCATCTGTAAAAATGAAGATGTAATACACTACCTACCTCAATAGGCTTGTTTCAAGGAAAATTTTTCATAAACCTTAAAGCCCTATAGAAATGTGAGCTATTGTTTTTTCAATCATATTTCCTAATATTTCTGAAGTTCAGTCTTTTCTTATATTCCTTATTATCTTTACCATTATTTCTCCATCCTTCCTCCTTTAGTTCCATTCATATATGTGCTCTAAACTCAGGCTATTCTCAATTCACTATCTTTTTTTTTACACTGCCTATTCCTATCCAATTCTATATCCATCCTGCCTTTCTTCCTCATTCATTCACATTTGATGCTCTTTCGAACTTTACAACTAAACTCTATGCCATTTGCTCAATTCTCTAATAACCCCAAATGTTACAACCATAAAAGTTTTTTTTTTTTTTTGGAGCTGGGGATGACCATGGAGATCACCTAGTACCACACTCACACTGCTTCTAATTTAAGCCCACCAGCCATTTTGCCTTTGCCTTGTTCTGGGCTCTCTCCACAGATGGTCTGAATCACAGGAGAGCTGGAAAAGTGATCTCTGGGAGGCCTGTGAGATGAGGTGTGGGTGGCTTGGGGAGACAGAAGGAGTGCTCTTACTTATGGGCACATTGCAATAAAGAAGCATTCACTTTAGTCTTCTGCCATCTGTCTCCACACTGCTAATAACCTACTCTATCAGATGTCACAGACTGTTTGTTAGGATTCAAAAGAGGATAAACAATAACTGGGGATGTCATTTATTCATTAAAATCAGACAAATGAAGTCTTCTCTTACCACTAGCTTGGAAAGCTCTGAGTAAGCCCCTCCTTACAAACCAAGAATCCCTTGTGAGGAAGGAATGAGGGGACTCCAAAGGCTCCTTCTGACCCAATTACAGGAAAGGGAAGAAGGAAGGAGAGGACAGCACAACAATACCACCTCTGTGCCCCCAGACTTTGAGTAGTACTGAATGCCAGTAACCAGTTCCATCTCCATAATTCCTTGAATGGTCTCCTCTGGTCTACGAACTGTCCCTCATCTCACTTGTACCCTTTTCTGGGCTCAATGCCTTGCAAGTTTCATGTCTTATTGATATCACAGTGACTGTCATGCACTAAATTATGAACAGGAGCAATTAATTAGTGGGAGGCAACCACTTCCCTGGTTTTCACCTGCCAGGGCATAGTGGAAGCAGCTCCAGAGTGCCCATTAGAGTCCTACCTTCCCATGTATGGCAAAAAACATTGAAAAGTACAACCAGGAAGTGAGCATTCACTACAGCTACTTCTCCCTTCTAGATGCTACCTGTGAATGGTAGAAAAGAGAAGTGTGGAAGGAAGATAAGAGGAGGCCAGATAAGAGGGAGATGCCATTAAAAAAGAGTAGTAGAATAAGACAAGATAATATAATAGATTGGGAGTCAGAAGGCTTGGGTTCTAGTCCCATTTCACACAAACAATGTGACTTTGAACCCGTGACTTAATCTCTGGACTTCAGTCTCCTCATCTGTAAAATGGCAGGGTTGCATCAGATGATTAACTTTTAAGGTCCCTTCCAGCTCTCAGATTCTGTTAACTACAGACATAAACCAAATGCTTGGTGGTACTGTCCATGGTGCTGAAAGTGCCCATCGTGCTTTTCACACACTTTGGAACAGGTGCAGCTAAGCAGACAAGTGAAGAGATCTAGATGTCATGAGCAGCACTGGGATTTGAACTCCCTGCCACTGAGCTCTTATCTTATACTAGATGGGTACTAATCCATGTATCCATGCCCCAGAGAAATCAGACTATAAACCTGATGAAAAAGTGAATCATCTCTCACTTCTTTCTGCTCCCTCTGTGTGTGCTATATAGGACATTGGGATTTAGAGCTACAGAGGACCAAAAGATAGTCTAGTACAATCCAACAATTTTAAAGACAAGGAAAATGAGGCCACAGAAGTCAATTAGTAGTATGGGCAGGATTGGGACACAGGTCTTTCAATGTCAAACCAGTGCTCTTTCCACAGTTACTTCATCCCATTGCTACATCCACTAGGAACAGTACTAGAGGACTCCCAACTACCTCATGTCTAGGGTCTCCCCCTAGTCAAGTAGGACAGAATAGCACACTTCAAACATATATACAAAGTAGATGATTTTTTTTATGTATAACCCTCTGTGTATAACCACCCTTTATGTATAACCAACTCTACATTAGTATAGAGTAAGTTGAGATCAGGGAGTGAGACATTTGGGATATCCATAACAGAACAAGTTCACAGATTTCTTCACATGCATATATCATACAGAATCATAGAATAGCAAAGTTTCAAGGGATCTCATAGCTACCACATACACACACACACACACTCAGAGGAAAACTGTGCAGAATGCAGAGGATCCTTGTAGAGAGATGTTAAGGTTCCAGTTAACAACCAAAGGACGGGATGAGAGCAGATTTTAAGCAGGAGATAGGCAGCCTGAGAGACTCAGGAGACATGGCTCCTGAGAAAGTCAGTGATGAGATAGGATCCTCAGCATCTCCCTGTCCTATTCCATCTTTAAATAGCTCTGTCACCCTATAATTTTCTCAAGTTCAATTTTCAAACATTTTCCTCTTCTTTCTGAAACTCCCAAGTCCAGATTTTTCTGTCTTGTTGTTGTTCAGTTGTTTTCAGTTGTGTCCAACTCTTTGGGACCCTATTTGGGGTTTTCTTGGCAAAGATACTAGAATAGTTTGCCATTTTCTTCTCCAGCTCATTTTACATTTAAGGTACTAAGGCAAATAGAGTTAAGTGACTTGCTCAGGGTCATACAGCTAATAAGTATCTGAGGCTGGATTTGAAATCATGAATATGAGTCTTCCTGATTCTAAGCTCTATCCACTGTGCCACCTAGATACCCTACTATGTCTACAGATAAGAAAAGGCATCTGCAGGCAAAGGGAAGTTGTTTTTATAGTTTGTAATTATCTCATACTAGTACCTAAAATAATTATAACTCTTGCATATTAATAATTGAGTGGTATCATAGCCATGACATATATCAAAAAAGAATACAAAACATTTGTTCCATCCATACAATACAATACAATATCTTGGTATAACTGAACAATTAGAAAATAATAAAAATAATTATTTTTCTCCCAACATTGAAATTAGTGAGATATAAGAACAATTAGCTGCTTCTTCCATTAAAGATAAGGTGGTGATAATTTTGTTTGCAACTTAGAATAAATATAAAAAACCCACTTGTGCTACACTAAAGCTTGTTTGTTTGGCTTACCGGTATCTAATTGGGGCTCTGTCACAGGGGAAAACCTGTCTTTGGTTTCATTTGTTTCCCTGTTAATTTGATATCTTTTTATCTCCTCTCCCCTCCCCCTTCCACACCAAAAAATAATAATAATAATTTAAGAAGGAGCAAGAGGGAAATAATGAATGAATAGGAGCTTTATAGATCCAGGGTTTATCATAAGCTGGAGTAATCGCAATTGGAGCTGTTAAACTCCACAAAGCAATAAAAAGAAAATGCTATTCAAACATTGTTTAAAGAGGCATGTGATAGTCAATGTGAAGTTTGCTCTATTGGGGACTATTTAATAGCTTCTTCATTGAATCTGTAGCCTTTACAGGAATAGAGGTTGAAGGTGGGTTGACACTCAGTGGGTCTCTCTCTCTGTGTATGTGTGTGTTTCCATTCCTTGGTTTTTAGCTCCAACTTACCCTAAGTAAATCAAGCTTAGAATAGAAATATGAGCAGAGAAGAATCAGAGAGGAAGTGAAGACAGGAAAGACCGAGCAGGAGACAAAGTAAAAGTAAGAGAGGAGGAAGCTAAGGCTGAATAGGAATCCAGAAGAAAGTAATGAGGTTAGGTTTGTCCAGGTACCTTCAGGCCCTTTATATCACACTACCTTAAATAGGATCTTTGAGGAGGGGATTCCTTGTGTGTTGGCTAATTCCACAGACCTTATCTCAATTCCAGTTTCCAGGCTTCCTCCCATACCAATGTCAATATTGCAAACCAGAGTGCCAAATCCATACCTGAGCAGTTAAGACACAGATGGTTCAGCAAATGGAAAGAGCTAGTAGTAAAGGCAATGATTCATGGTGAGGGTAGAAGAGGGAGGTTTTCCTTATGCCCAAAGATTCTCCCTTCCTGGCCCAGGCAGTAGGTGAACCCTGCAGGCTTCTCTGCCCACTCCTCTTCCAAACTTCACTGTTTTTGTGAAAGGCACCACCATCATCCTTCCAATATTCCAGGCTCCTGAGAGTGGACAAAAGAGGCTAGATGTGAGAAGTATTGTGGAAACAGAAATGACAAGATTTGGTTACTAATTGTACATGGGGGGTCAGGGACAGTTGGTTGGTTGGTTGTTGTCCTTCATTCTTGAAGAGGACTGAAATGACATTACTATGTTGGAATCAAGGTACAGCGTGTCTGACTGTGGCTGATCAGATCAATACTAACTCAGAAGGCTCCACCACAAGTCAGGCACAAACAGTCCATGTGAACATTTAGAGTGGAGATATCTCTGAATTTGGGCAACTCATGTTTCTTTTGAGCTACTGAAATTCTGCTTCACTCACAGAGCACAGGACCTTCTTTAA